TTTCCTACACTTGAACCAAAATCGCTCAGTGATTATCGAAAGAGGAATATTAATTGGATCTTACTCTCTAGATATTTCACAACATTAACAGGCGCTTTTAACGTTGTGATGTTAACGTACGCTTCGTTATAAATTGTTAGTAGCGACGTATTATCAGGTGAAATACGGTTAGGTCATATAGTGAGTGACTGTCTTGTGGCATCACTACGAGCTGATACAACGGGAAGAAACACGAGACCTACTTAAGTACTGTATCCCCTCTCGTCCCTCACCCACCCATATAGAACATCTCTCCCACTCATCTCTCTCTCTCTCTCTCCCTCCCTACCTACCTACCTTCCTTCCTCCCACCCACCCACCCAACCCCTCTCCTCCCTCACCCCTCCCTCCCTCCTTCCCTCTCTCCTTTCTCCACACCCCCCCACCTTACCTACCTACCTACCCTCCACCACACCACCTCGACCCCCCTAATGCCTCGCGCCCTTGAGGCTAGCCAGAGTGTAACCACCCGTTGTATTGTTTGAGGGATGGAGTGCTTTCAGGCACTTACTCGAGATGGATCAGGGAGGGGAGGAAGTAGGGTCGCATCCGTGGTGAGTCAGGGTGATAAGGGGGGCGGATGGGGATTGATGGAATATGAGGGGTGAGGGTTATTTATGGAAGTGTGGGATTGGTAGGGATGTAAGGAGTGAGGATTAATGGAGGATATAGGCAAGAGTTGATGTATCACAAGGCAGGATGAGGGAGAGAGAGGTGGTTGGGGGAGTAGATGAGGTGAAGGGACTGGAGTGAGTGGAGAAGGATAGATGAATGGATTGATAGGTAAGTGAATGGGAGTGGATGAAAGGTCGAGCTATCCTCATTTAATCTCCATCAATCGACACACTCCCACCCCCCACCACACACTCACCCCCACACCACACTCCACCCCACCACCACACACTCCCACCCCCCACCACACACTCACCCCCCCCACCACCCACACACTCCCACCCCCACCACCACACACTCACCCCCACCACCACACACTCACCCCCCACCACACACTCACATCCCCACACACACACCACACTACTTTCCCACATTCATACCACACAACTCTTCCCCCCCCGCACACACACACACACACACACACACCATACCCACCGCGCTCACACACGCATCACTTCCCCTACCCCACACACACCAAAAAACAGACTAATCAGACAGTCCCTAACACCTTAGTAAGATACCTTTATCTCTGGTCATAAGCAGGTAATTCCTCGGATCAATTATAATTAATATAATACCTTTTATACCTTCGTGCGTGTCGCTGTCTCTCGTGTGTTTGTGTTGTTTCTCTGTCTAACTTTCTCTCCGTTTCTGTTTGTTTGCCTCTCCTCTCTCTCTCTCTCTCTCTCTCTCTGGTAATACACTTACCACCACCACCACTACTACTCAGGACGTTTGGGCCATCGGTAATTTTCATCATAATTAATACAAAATCGATTCAATTCTATATATTTTTCTTTAAACATTTGGTTGTCCTCCACGTAGTAGCTCTGGGAGGGGTTTCTACCTTCTTTCCTCTCCGGGCACAAATTGCAAGGATGCCCCTGGAGTTCATCATAAGCATTCTTGATTTGTTTCATTGGGCGGATATCACACTCCTCCTGAAGTAGTATAGTATCCTACAACCACCCTCCTATCCCCAGCTTGTGAGGCATCGCCCTACGTCGCCTAGAAGACAAGAGAAATAAGAAATAGGAGAATATCAGATTATTTTTGTTTATATATTTGGGTGATTCTGAGACTCGGGGGTGATGATGTAGGTGTTGAAGGAAAGGAGGCGGGGTGTAAACCGTATTGATGGAAGGAAGATGTAACAGTGGGGGAGGAAGGAAGGAAGATGTAAACAGCAGTGGAGGAAGGAACGAAGAAAGGAGGGAAGGAAGGAAGACGTTAACAGCAGGGGAGGAAGAGTTGTGACAGTCGCTTAAGCCTGCCGCTGAGGTCTACCGAGACGATTAGTAGTGTCAGTACCTGGACCTCCGACGTGGTGGGGGTGTAAGGGGAGAATGGGTGCAAGGGGAAGGGAGGGTTTAAGAGGGAAGTAGGGTATAAAGGGAAGGGTGGGTGTAAGGGGTGAGGGTGAGGTGAAGAGAGGGAGGAGGGATTTGAAGGAGGAAAGGGTGAGTGAAGGGGAAGGGTATTCACGGGGAAAGGTGAGCAAGCAAACAAGGGTGAAGGGTGACGAGATGTAACGGTAAGGGGAGGAAAAGTGGGGGTGAGTGATGGATGGTGAAGGGAGGGGAGGAAGGTGATGGCGATGAAACCTAAGACTTTGTGCAGGTATAAGGATCACATGAAGATTAGACACCCCAACTATTTACACACTAAAGATTAACCACACCTAAACTGACCTGACTCGCCTTCAGGTAGCGTAAGGTAGTTTAATCATCAGGTAAAATAAGCTGGGATTGGGTTAAGCTTTACACGACCTGAATACTTTTTTAACAGTAAGCAAATCAAAATTAATAACAATACTTCACTTCTCCATAAACGTGTTTCGAAATCTAAATTGTCCTCCCGTGCGTTAAGCGTGAAGGTAATACTCCTCCTGGGGTATTTTTGACAAGGATTAGCGACGTAATTACTCGCTATCATTGTAGGATTTTGTCTCCCACGAAGGCCTGATTATTTCTGGCCCATAACCTGGGTGTGTGTAAGGGAAAGTTAGTGGTAGTTTTTTTTCTCTCTCTCTCTCTCTCTCTCTCAAACAGGTGTTGTGGAAGAGGTGTACAGGTGTGGAGGTGTTATATATCACATGGGTCTGCTACCTTGGGATTATCCAGACCTTCCCCGCCCGCAGGTCACCCACAGGTCACCTACAGCCTACCCATAGGTCACCCACAGCCTACCCACACCAAGTTCATTCCTCTGTCTGTAATTCGTCTACACCTGACCGCATCCCGTCTGTACCTGACTGTATCCCGTCTACACCTATCTATCACGTTTACATCTGTCTATCACGTCTACACATGTCTATCACGTCGACACATGTCTGTCCCGTCTACACCTGACTGCATCCCGTCTACATTTGACTGCATCCCGTCTACACCTGTCTATCACGTTTACACCGGTCTATCACGTTTACACCTGTCTATCCTGTCTATCCCGTCTACATCTGTCTTATCACCTTTACACCTGCCTATCACGTCTACACCTGTCGATCCCATCTACACCTGTCTATCCCGTCTACATCTGTCTTATCACCTTTACACCTGTTTATATTCCGCCTACAGCTATCAACATCACATGACCACAACTCAAATATATTTAAACATTATAAAATACCTTGTTAATTTACGTCGTTCTATTGCAGTCTTCTTTTATGTTAGTCTATCCTTATTTTTTCTATTATTACCTTCTAGTTTCATTTCTTTCCATTCATCATCTTTATCGCTGTTATTTATTTATATGTTTATGTTTTTTAAGTGATAGAAGCTAATGTAATCCTATTCTTCTCTATCTCCGTTGTTCTTTTATTCTTCGTGCTCACTATTTCCTGCTTCGTTCAACTTTCCATTTTCTTCTGTTTCTTGTTTATTCCCTATGTCATCTACTCCTTTATTTACTCTTTCCTCCTATGTCTTCTCTTAGTTCATTTTTCCTGTTTTCATTTTGCTCTTTATTCTGTTCTGTTTTCTTGTATATTTTTCCTTCGTTATTTATTTTATGTATTTTTTTAGTTTATAGTTTCAGCTTCCCATTTTCTTTCAAATATTTTCCGTTTTTCTTTTCTATACTTCCAACTTCTTTTGCTTTCAGCTTCTGATTTGCTATGGTTTAAGCTTTTACACACACACAAACACACACACACACACACACACACACACACACACACATAGAGCCAAATCTCCTATTGTGTGATAGCAACATTCTGAAAGGTCGTCCATATATCGAAACGTGTACTCTATCGTCCTCTGGGGAAATTGGGTAGGGGAAGGACTGCAGGTGTGCTCTGAGTAAGGGATGGCAGGTAGGACAGGTGGTAAGGGGAGGGAAACAGGTAGGTAAAGAGGTAAGGGAGGACAGATAGGTAAGGGGAAAAGAGAGGAAGAGGAAGGAAATATAAAATAAGGGAAAAGAAACGAGCAAATTTATATTACTGTGCGGGAAGTTAGCCCAGGTTGGTGATGGGTGGACGGGAGGAGTTGATGATGGGTGGACGGGAGGAGTTGATGATGGGTGGACGGGAGGAGTTGATGATGGGTGGACGGGAGGAGTTGATGATGGGTGGACGGGAGGAGTTGATGATGGGTGGATGGGAAAGCTACTGATTCTCGCCTCAGACACACCCCCAAGTTTACCCAGTTGTGAATGGTACCTTAGTTTACCTCCTTGTTTACTAATAAGAAGACTCAACCGTTAGCGTGGACGTTCAAAGTAGTAAACGTCTCAAGTGGCGAAAATCCATAGTAGTAAATACCCAACCAGCGAGTGTTGTTATTGTCCAAGCTGCTGTTATTGTTGTAAGGTTGTGTATAAATGTAGCTACGTGTTGTAGTTGTTAAAGAATGTTTGAAGGAATATTTCTGGCATCGTTATCAAGATCAGTTCAAACATATCCTGACCTGACTGGAACTGTTTTAGTGTGGCGAGTGTTTTTCTCTCCCCTGTGTGACCTATTGTTATTGCTGTTCATCAATGTGGTTGGTTGTGTTAAGATGTATTGTAATGGTCTGTGTTATTTTTGTTGATTGATGTCTCCTGATTGTTGATTGATTTTTTGGCTCTTTTGAAAGTATTATTGCTTATATATATATATATATATATATATATATATATATATATATATATATATATATATATATATATATATATATATATATATATATATATATATATATATATATCTTGTAATTTTAAATCTTATAATATAAATGTTTGCACTGGGGTGTTGGTGAGCAATCTCCTGCAAAAAACAAGCTGAATAGGTGACTAATGTTGACTCGCAGAATACGAGGTGGGAAGTGATGGTGGCGCGGGGGGACAAGGTGGAGGACCCACCAAGCGGGCCCGGACTGCTTACACCTCCGCCCAGCTGGTGGAGCTAGAAGGAGTTTCACTTCAACCGTTACCTGTGTCGCCCAAGGAGGATTGAAATGGCCGCTTTGCTCAGCCTCTCTGAGCGACAGATCAAAATATGGTTTCAGAACCGTCGGATGAAGTACAAGAAGGAGCAGAAGGCGAAGGGGGGGCGTGACAAGAGCCCGAGTCCACCGTGCTCCTCGCCCGCTACCTCCATGCCGCCTATGTCGCCTTCAGGAGAGATGAACACCCTCTCACCGGCCACCCAGTGCCACGCTAATGCCTGCCACGGCACAGGGCTCCCGCCGACATCACACGGGCAGCCTGTGTCACGCCCACAACATCATCAGGACGCCCATCACTACCTACCGGCCAGCAGCTGTGGCGGGCCCACCCAGCACCATGGGTCCGGGATGGTTACGTCCATGACGGGTCCTCATGGACCCATGCCGCACTACATGGGGCTCTGACCTTCTCCCCTTCCGTCACTATGCACGAGCTGCTGCCCCTGGGCGTGTCATTAACACAGGCGGGGCAACAGCAGCAGCACCAGGGTAGCCACATTGCTCCGCCACACATGCGAGATGCCCACCATGACCTGCATATGAGCTGCCCTCCACCATCGTCCCTGCAGGAGTATCCGCCCTGCTCCCTCTCTCAGCTCCACCCACAGCAGCAGCCCCTCACCGTCCACCACATGAACCACGACGCCAAAAAGACGGTACCTGGGTGGCCAGTGTCTCTCCAGCCACCCATCTCCACCGTCAACATGAACAACCTGGCCAGATTCCCGTCGCCACCACGACAACGAAGACAAGCTTGTGTCACTGTAAGGATCACCCTTACAGTGACACGAGGATTTGGGTTCTCAAAGATACAAGCGTTAATTTTTATCACCTACTGTACGTGATGGGCGCGAAGATCCCCTTTAGTTTCCGTGAAATCTTGGTCTAATTTTGAAGCCATTATGACAATCATTGCTGTTTTAAATTATATAAACTAATAAGATCTTTCATTACATCTCCAGTTAGTGAAAAATCTAAATATTTGAATCTTTGGGAATCTTATCCTGGTAGAGTAAGATGGCGACACTCATCCACAGAAACACGTGTAAAATATTTTATTATGTGCTTATGATGCTTCTCAGTCAACTCAACCGAATTACAATTGTGATGACTCGTAGGTTTTATAGTATGTAAGTATTTGTCTGTGAGTAGATAGCGATTAAATAGAAGACAACAAAGACATTTCTTTTAACCCTTTATTAAGAAGCTTGAAGGTATATTAGAGTAACTGGACTTCCCTTCCAGTGAAACAGTCCAACAACCCCAGCAGATGCAGCAGGGATGGCAGGGGAAATAGGAACGGCGGGGGAAAGTAGCAGCAGCTGTCAACAGTAGGGTGAAGGCGCCGGGATCCACCCTCCCCTCCGGCCCAACAGCCCCGGGATCCGACACTCACTCACAGTCCCCGATAAATACATCAGTTACCCCTGAAGCCGGTGACGAGCAGCCAGGGGCACAGATGACAGCCAGTTGTATTCAAAGGTTTACTGAGAGCTCGCCGTAATGTGCGTAATGCTGGCCTATTCACACATTTTTTCCCAGATAGTATCGCTCCCCTTCATATAGTTTAGCTACGATAATCATTTTAGTGAGTCTTCTAACTTCAAGATAAGAAAGAAAGAAAAACCCTGATATATTTACAAAGGTTTTAAAAGTAACGTAATTCATATAGAGTTGTATTAATAGTAACTAATGAAACATTATAAATACGAGTAGAGGTGCCAGAATTAAGGTAGCAGAGTGTGTGGCGATGTCAACGTGTGATTGGCTGTGTCAGGGGGTGTGTCCTCATCCGTCATTGGTCGGCGATCCATCAACGGATAGAGACACTGGCTGACAGGAAACCGTTCGATTCTCCTCCTCTGGCCATGACTTGGGCTTCTCTGTGTTTCATACGGATAAAACTTCAATATAATTCTCTGGAAGGTTTGAGCCATAAAATTATCAATTATATCAAAATTCTTAGATATTGGAATAAATTTTGAGATGAATTCGACACCAGAAGACGAAGAGTAGCGAGTAAACATCTCGGCTTCGGTTTGGTCTAGTCGTCGGAACACAGATCGAAGCGCTTGATACAATCCAAAGCTCAGAGTTATTAAAACTTTCACGTCTCTGAATGGAATTTGATTTTCCAATGTTTGAACTAAAGGACAGATAAGATGGAAAACTCCACCAAATTAACTGATTCCATTATAAAGTTAACGATTAACTTGGGGAAACAGCGTCTGTAATCCGGGGTTTCTTATCCGGCCCATAGAGGAACCCCGGCATGGAGGGCAGACAAACAGGAAGACACAGACAGTCAGGTACAGTATGTAGGCAGGCAGGTATGTAGACAGGCAGTATGGTGTACAGGAAGACAGTCAAATAAACGGGAAGGCAGTCAGATATACCGGAAGACATCAGATATACGGGAGGGCAGTCAAATATACAGGAAGGCAGTCACATGTACGGGAAGGCAGTCACATGTACGGGAAGACAGTCATATATACGGGAATACATTTAGATATACGGGAAGACAATCAAATATGCAGGCAGGCGGGCAGACAGTCATGTATATGGGAAGGCAGTCAGATATGTAGACAGTCAGGCAGGCAGGCAGTCACGTATACGGGAAGACAGAAACACTAGAAATCAGACAGGCGGGATTTCTTTGCAAGCACGTACTGTAGTTAGCTATGCAGACAATCATCTAGTCAATTATTGCATGTAGAGTGACAAACAGTTACCCCGAAAACCACTCCCAAGGGCGGTGGTGATCCCAAAGGCACTCCCAGATGCGTAAGTGCCTCTAGGGGTCCTCACAGGATCTCACCCAGAGGCGGCAGCGCCCCAAGGGCCCTTCCAAAATTTAGTGGCGACCCAAGAGGCCCTCCCAGGCGAGGCAACGCTCCATGGGGCCCTGACAGGGGCTGTGGCAACCACAGTAACCCTCCCAGGCCTGGTGGCAACCCCAGGGGCACTGTCAGGGGCGGTGGCGCTAGGGACCCTCACAACGGTTTCAGCGCTCTTCGGGGCCGTCCCAGGTGTGACAGCGCCCTAAGGGCCCTCCCAGAGGTGGCGGTGCCCCCAGGGCGATCATGTATCGTACATATTGCATGCATCAAGCAATCCGTTACTTAACTGTGATTGGTGGAATAAAAT